TCATGCATGTGTTTCAAAAGTTTTTGCATGTTTTTAATGATTTTTAATCTTATAAGGAAAATTATGTATTTTCTATTTTATTTGCAATAGGCAGCCAGTCAGAGAGAGATCTTCCATTTGTTATTTCATTCTCTACATGCCACAATAGCCAGGACTGGACTAGACCAAAGCCCAGAGGCTGGGGCTCAATCAGGGGACCCCACAAGGATGACAGGGACTCAGGTATATTTGAGTCATCATTTGCTGCCTTGCTGGATGTGTTTTAGCAGGAAGTTGTATCAGAAGTGGAGGACCCAGGACTCATATCCTGGCATTCTGCCATGGGATACAAGTGTCCGAAGTGGCAATGTAACTGTTACATCTCATGCCTGCCCCTAACTTATCTTTCAATTCCATTTGCTCCACTAGCCTTTTTGAAGTACCTACATATAAAACTTTATGCTTTAAAGTACATAACACTCCTTGTTGTATTTTCTCTTTCTCTAGAGGTCTTTAAATTGTGATTTCAAGGAATATTGTACCCAGAGCTGAAATGAGGGCTTCAGCCTCTAAAATCTACCAAGTCTTTTCTCAATTATAAAAAAAATACTAAGGAACAGTAATTTCTTCCCATTGTAGAACTCAGTCGCTCCCCCATCATTTTTTTTTTTTACTTTGACCTCTATTATAACTCTATATCTGCTTTTGCACAGAATTAGATTTTACTATTTTCATTTACATGTTATTCTATGAAAATTAAATTGGCTTTTGGGAGTTCAGTTTTTGAGCAGATGAAACACCTCCCCGAAACAGCACATGCTGTCACCTCCTTTCTATTGGAGGAGGTAGGGATTTCCTGCCTGAAAATCGCATAGCAGACACTGCCCTGTCCCCTGCATGCCTTGTTGTACTTCAGCCTCCCATCCATCCTGTGCTGAGCTGTAATCATCCAATTTTAAATGGTGAGGCTGATTCACAGAACCAGTGTTTGATTCCGAGTCACATGGGCCTCACCACTCTGCTGACACAGGACAGTCAGCAGTGTTAGTGTCTCAGCCCTACTGTGTTATAAGCTTCTTCAGAGCAAAGATCATTCTTGTTTGCACCCATCTATACACACACACACACACACATCCAGGAAGTTTCCAAACCGGATGGAGTAGCCTCCCTCTCACTTCAGTTAGCTTTGCTTGTGACATGTGAGTTCTACGCTAATGTATACCCAAGGATCTTCCCAGATCATCTTCAGTTCTTCTAACTCCTTGCTTTTCAACTGACACCAGGACAGAAATATCTTTGCCTTTAGGTTGTAACTGCCTCTTCCTGACAGCCATTTTCAAAGGGGGGTTAGCAATTTTAAAAATAATTCTAGGATGCCGGCGCTGCGGCTCACTAGGTTAATCCTCCGCCTTGTGGCGCCGGCACACCCGGTTCTAGTCCCAGTCGGGGCACTGGATTCTGTCCCGGTTGCCCCTCTTCCAGGCCAGCTCTCTGCTGTGGCCTGGGAGTGCAGTGGAGGATGGCCCAAGTGCTTGGGCCCTGCACCCCATGAGAGACCAGGATAAGTACCTGGCTCCTGCCTTCGGATTAGCGCGGTGCGCTGGCCGCGGCGGCCATTGGAGGGTAAACCAACGGCAAAGGAAGACCTTTCTCTCTGTCTCTCTCTCTCTCTCACTGTCCACTCTGCCTGTCAAAAAAAAAAAAAAAAATCTAGGATGGGTTGTTTAAAACTTTCTGAGAAAACAGTTCATATTTAAAGATGTTCATTATTCATTCCAGTATGAAATGATTTGCACTTGTTAATAACACCTTGCAACAGCCAAAGAAAAATTAGAAGGTGACTCAATAGGAGACATTCAGGTGTGGATTACAGGAAAGCAGGGAAGAAGAAAACTTTTGCTAGTGAACTGAGAGCAGGTTTCAGACAGATTTGGCCATCCGAAAGCTTGTTTAGTTTTAATGTTGCAAATAGTTGATTCTCTGGTTCAAAGCTGAGTCATCATCTTGAAAGAGATGATTGCATTGATTGAATACATGGTATTAAAAATTATATCTTAAATAACTTAACATTTTGTCATTAAAACAGCAGATACTGAAGTGAGGAGATATAAACAGGTATCCCTTCTTTAATATGCATTGTTTAGGATAATACATGGAAAATGCATAGGAAAACAATGCATTATGGTTTCTTTAAGGGAAATCTATCTATTGCCCAAGAAAAGTCATACAGGTACACATTCTGTACATATTTATATAGTATACATGTGATTCAGCTTAAAAAAAAAAACAACTAAAAATCGTCAATCACTGCAATTTCTCTTGCTCAATTTGGTTTTCTTTTTAAAGATTTATTTATTTATTTGAAAGGTAGGACAATGTAGTATAAGGAAAGGGGGGACTGAACATGAAGCCACAGCCAGACCTGGTTTATTCAAAGAATAAGCCTGGGAGGGGCTCACTCCCAGGCAAACACACGTGGCAGAGGGCACCTTCCCTTACAGAATAGTGGTTTATAAAGTACAGAGTGGCAGGATGGGGCTTGGGGGTCTGAGCTAAAACTGTGCTGCTGAGATAGTTGGAGAGTTTGGACTGGATAAAGGGCCTTTGAGATAACAGTGTGAGCTGGGAGGGGTTTGGGTTGAGGCTGTGTTGCTGAGATAGGGGGGAGAGAGTTTGGGAGGAGTAGGGAGAGCTCAGGTTGATAGCAGGTCTCTTCAGATAGGGATGTGTCTGACAATCAAGGCAGGGCAGGGCTGGGCAAGGCAGGGTGGGCAGTATTAGCTGAGCAGAGAAATGGGGGCCTGCATGTGGTTATGTAGGTGAGAGATCAACATGAGTCTAAGGTACTCTTTTTTTTTTTGTCTTTGCTCCATCAGAAAGGGAGAGAGGGAGAGAGAGAAAGAAATCTTCCATCCCATGGTTCAGTACCGAAATGGCCTCAACAGCCAGAGCCAGGTCACAGCCAGGAGCCAGGAACCTGTATCAGAAACAGAGCAGCCAGGACTTGAACCCTCACTCTGATACCATATGCCTGCATTGCAAGGGGCAGCTTAATGTCCTGTGCCATGACCACTCTTTCCCATTCCCCATCAACTGTTTTCTTTTCTTTTCTTTTTTTTTTTTTTTTTTTAATTTATTTGACAGGTAGAGTTATAGACACAGAGATAGAGAGAGACAGAGAGAAAGGTCTTCCTTCCATTGGTTCACTCCCCAAATGGCCGATCCGAAGCCAGGAGCCAGGTGCTTCTTCCTGGTCTCCCATGCGGGTGCAGGGCCCAAGCACTTGGGCCATCCTCCACTGCCTTCCCGGGCCACAGCAGAGAGCTGGACTGGAGGAGGAGCAGCCAGACTAGAACCCGGCGCCCATATGGGATGCCGGCGCCGCAGGCAGAGGATTAACCAAGTGAGCCACGGCGCTGGCCCCCTTCAACTGTTTTCTTGATGATGATATTTTCTTTCTTTTTGGTTTGTTTTCTTCAATTCAAGATTAGTATTTGTAGTGTACTCGCGTGCTTAGTGCTTGGAAACAAGCCAGAGTTTCACAGTTTGCCCATCTTCTTTCCAACTTTAAAGATAATGCGATGCTTCTAAGGATTCTGCCTTTAGACTGAGTTGTTTATTTCATGTTGCTGATAATTCAGGGGATTCTTGTGAAAGGAGCTTACTCTTCTGGTCACCCATGGGAAAGAAAAAAATATATTTGTGGGAGACTGGAAGTTTTATGGTACTTTTCCTTGCTTCTACTCTTGTTTTTGTAAAAAGAAAAAAAAATCTCATTTAGAGAACAGTTGCCAGCCGTAAATTCATTGATATGTCAATTGCTCATAAAATTTTTGTGGTATAGATGGAACAAGTGGGGAATACTGAAATGGTATGCTAATTAATAAAAAATAAATAAAGGAATATGAACACAGACTTCTACAGAGTGTCGGTGTCCTAAGTAGCATACTAATTTCTCTTTATGAAAGAAGCTGTGTTTTCAAAATACAACTTCTATCTGGACAAGGATAAAAAATATTAGCAGTTTATTTTTGGAATAAGAAAATTGAAGCACATGTAAAAATCAAGGTTGTAAATAACTTAAAACATGGATAAAAATGTTGTTTTTAACTGAAATGGCTTGAGAGGCTCTGGGAATTATTTTCAGAGTATTGATAAATGGGCAATTGCATTTCAGCTGTTTTCCATTTTTTCCCAAAAGCACAGAAAGAAAAAAGTTAATTTTTATATGAGTGATTTTTAAACCACAAGCAGATTTTCTTTGAGATTTTTCTCCATAGTGGCCAATTTTGTATGAAACAAGTTATTTTAGTCCTAATTGCAGTCAGGATAGTTAGGCTGCTGGCTTTGCTAAGGCTGAATTTCATTTGAACTTTCTCATAGCAAGATCTTTTTTCAGAATTTAATAACGGAGTCAAATATTTAATAGTGGAATCTTTCATTAAATTAAAAAGAAATCAGGATGTATTTTTGGAAGAACTAACTTATTTTCTTTATCAGTTTTATCTACTTTAGGAGAAATAGAAGAGAATGGAACCTCTTTCTTTTTGTATTTAAATAGACATTAATGGTATAACCCCAGCAAATAATTGATTTCAGTATATACCATCAGTCAGAAGATTTAGGAAGCACCAATGGCAATAATAACTCTACTTCTAGCTCTACTGCACTGACTGTGTGAACCTCTTCATTGTCTACTGGATAATCCATCTTTTTTAACACTAACATACATTTTCTAGATCAGCATTTAGATCACACACTATCAACTTTTGCATTGCCTAATTGGTACAATTGTTTGATTTAAAATGTGAGTAGGAAAAGATGAGATTTGAAAGAATTTTTCCCATGTGTCTTTGAATCAACAGATGTTAAAAGATCATTAAATGGATTAATTTACAAGTATCCATAGAATGTTTTTACATAAAAGCATGTTGTAAAACTTTTAATTAAAGTGTATTGTGGTTTGCACTCTCTTCCCCTCAGTGTTCCTTTGACCTCTGGCCTCTTATTTTATCCCGCAGGCACTCCACTGCTGGTGAGGAGGAGCAGTGACCCATCACTGGGGCCACCTGCTGACGCCCAGCCAAGCGCTTCACACCCTGGTGGCCAGAGTCTGAAACCTGTTGTTGCAGTAGGTGTCCTGCCCTTTGCATTTTTAATGAAAGATCAAAGTGCCTTGCCCTAGACTAACCAGGACTTGGCAGTCTTGAATAAGTTGATAATTAGATAGAAATCTTTTGATAAGATGCACAGCAAATCATTATAATAGGTAATATGAGCTATTAGTAGTATATAGTTACAGTGGTAGCTTTTATTTATGTCGTACTGATTGTGTGCCAAGCACTGTTTAAAAGCTTACATTAAGTCCTGTAAACTTCTACATCAAGGTAAGTACACATTTTTATCTCCATTATACTGAGAATGAAATTGAGGCAGAGGCAGGTTTAGTAATTTGTTTAAGGTCAAATGGCTAGTAAGTGACAAAGCCTGGAATTGAACCCTGCTGACCTGGGTCCAAAGTCCATGTTTTAAGCTGCACACCCATACTGCTTCATTTCCCTCATCTCTGTGCTTAGTTATGGTCAAACATAGTGTTTATTTATTTTTGGTATGTTAACATAACGTTTTGCCAAGCCAAACCAATGTGTATGGTAATGCAGTTTGAGATTGCCAATGCCAGGGGCATGAGGTACTAGTATGGGATTTCTACAGCTCTGCTTTCAAACTGAAGAACAGAATTATATAACTACTATACTTGCAGCAATAGGTTAAGTGGAGAATGATTTTGTGAAGAGAAGATACACTCTTTCTATCTGGAACAGTGGGATCATTCTGCTAAATCCTCCCTTGCTTCGAAGAACTGTAATCACTTCATCTGTTCAAATGCCTTAAGGGTTAGATTTTAATGAATGGCTAAATGTCATTGCAATGGGTGATCTTCAGTGACACAAACATATTTATAAGGCTTCGCAAAGGCTAGTGTCTCCCATTTTCAGTCTCACTATCTATAGCAGCTTAAGAAAAAGACAACATTTTATAGGCATGTAAGGATGCTGAATGAGTTCAACAGTTTCTCCTACTTTGGTATATTCTTAGAAAGAATTAGGACCCGGCCGGCGCCGCGGCTCACTAGGCTAATCCTCCGCCTAGCGGCGCCGGCACACCGGGTTCTAGTCCCGGTCGGGGCGCCGGATTCTGTCCCGGTTGCCCCTCTTCCAGGCCAGCCCTCTGCTGTGGCCAGGGAGTGCAGTGGAGGATGGCCCAGGTGCTTGGGCCCTGCACTCCATGGGAGACCAGGAAAAGCACCTGGCTCCTGGCTCCTGCCATCGGATCAGCGCGCTGCGCCGGCCGCAGCGCGCCGGCCGCGGCGGCCATTGGAGGGTGAACCAACGGCAAAGGAAGACCTTTCTCTCTGTCTCTCTCTCTCACTGTCCACTCTGCCTGTCAAAAAAAAAAAAAAAAAAAAAAAAAAAAAAGAATTAGGACCCATACCTATGAAATAGGAGTCACCACGCCAAATCATTGGATATTTACTAATATGTTTGTGGCAATATGTTGTGATATTTTTTCTTAAGAAAGCAAGTATCTTAAAAGTTTTTAAAATATAATGTTTTCTCACTCTCCTATTTAAAACTGTATCCTTTTAAGGAAATACATTTAATGGAACATTGGTTTAATAAAAATCAGGTGTATGTGTTCTGCTTTAATGATGTGTACAAACAAAACCAGTATGTGGTATGATGTGTTTTTTTTTTTTAAATCCTCATTGATTGGGACCATGTTAAGCCTAAATGTTTTGCACTGGGGGAAGAGATAAACTCTATAAGTGAGAAAAGAATTGCATGAAAGGGAAGAACCACACTCAGTGCTGACTTTTACGATGTCTGTCTATCCTTAAATGAGAGTGTAGTTGATTAATGTGTCACCAACATTGGCATGCAAAAATACACTACTGCTTATTTCTGTCTCTATCACTTACACTCTGTGCTTAGACCCAATGAAGTGACGTTAATATTGGTTTCCCTAAAGGAAATGAGGGTTCATATCTTTATGATAGATTTCATAGTCTCACAAGAAAATACCATCTATGATTTCCAAGTTGGCATGTGAGGCAGGGGCATACATTATTGCTAATAAAGGTGTACGTCTGAATCTAAGAAGAAATGCTGGACCCAAAATCCTTGTACTTGGTCCTTACACAAATTGCCAAATATGAGTTGAATCCTAATATATTAACAGTAAAAAGGAAACATGTAATTCCTCCTCTCCTCACCCACTATTTTCTCTATGAATGTTGAAATACAGATCTGAGAATCAAAGAGTAGACTCTGGCCCTTGCCTTGTTGTGGAATAGCAGCAAATCTTAGTTTCATGCTTCATTGTATAAACATCTTCATAAATACTTTATTCCTTGATGTTCCAAGGTTTAGACATTGTGTGTCATCCATCTTTCTGTTTATTAGTGCCCAGGAGCCAAGTACATGAATGGTACTCAGCATATATCTTTTGGACATAGTACTGCAAGACACATAAAACTCTGGGAAAAGTCCTACAGGAATCAGTAATTAACCAGCCTGCCATTTAATAAAATCTCACCCAACCATTTTCTATGTTCCCCAGAAAGAAGCTACTAGGTAAATATCTATCTGCTCTGGAAAGAGACAGATAGTTTAGCCCTGGCACGAGACAGAGAGTTTAACTGCCCTACTGTATAACCAGAAGATACAGTTTGCAAGTAAGATATTTAGATATGTCTAGTTTTACCTAGAAGAAAAATAATGACTGTGTGTATTATAACTTTATTCATATATTTCAACATACTTGTGGACTATTTAGAGCTATGCTGTCAAGTATGATAGCTGCTAGCCACATGTGGATATTGAGCATTTGAAATGTCTGATCAGAACTGAAATGTGCTTACATGTGATATACACATTGAATTTTCAAGACTGAAGCATGAAGCAAGTTAATGTAAAAGTTCTCATTAATAACTTTTATATTGACTCCATGTTGAAATGATAATAGGTTTGGCATGTTCGGTTCAGTAAAATATATTAAAATTACATTCACCTGTTTCTTTTTATCCCCCCCCTTTTTTTCACATGACTGCTGGAAATTTTAAAAGCATGTCAGTAGTTTGTATTCAGTTTTTATTGGACAGTGCAGCTCTAGACTGAAGTAAATTGGGTGTAGCTTAACAAAATGGTCTGAGAACCTCAGGGGATGATCTTCGAGCTCCACGTCATCTCTTGAGTGACAGTGTGATTAGGGTTGCCTAGGGCAATCCTGCTTTAGACTACTTGTTCTGGCATAATTATGAGCAGTGTCCCCACTACCTCTCAGAGATGCCCATGTGTAGATGATAGATTATGTGGTACTCTCTATATAGTCCTAGTCAATTTTGTTGTTTGCTCAAAGAGAAGAAAAGCAGTCTTTCAATGAATCCATGGGAACAGAACTGCCACCAGTCTTACAGTGGAGCACACAGCAGTAGGAATTTTGTGTAAGAAGAACTTAGGCCCCGGAGTACGGACTCGGAGACTTCAGATTCTTTTGCGTCTCTCAGATTCCTTAATTCTACTTGATATTTCCTTCACAACTTCAGCTATACCGTGCTTGATTCCTGTGATTTGATGAGTGAAGATGAATACAGAGAATATATGATAAAAATGTAGCCATATAGCAACCGATATGAAAAATAATTGCTTAAAAAATGTTTCATTGCATTTCAGTCCAGTATCCAAGTGGGGGGTTTCCCAAATCAAAACTTCCATCTCTTAAAGAGAGTGTTCACACATAAGCAATTCACTTTGGCAGGATCCCAAATGGATTATGCTTAAGGAATGAAATTTGCTTATAACATACAGCATAAGAATCTGAAAGGTGAATATTTGCCATGTTTGATTATGTGGAAATATTACCTTTAGAACTACAGTTGACCGTTATTTTTAGTTGCACTTCCTTAAGCTTACCATAGAGGGGAGAGTTTTTGTTGATGCCCAGATACAGGTTTTTTTCAAAAGTTTGAAATATTTCACTTCTTTTGTGAGTGATTGTGTCACTAAAAATTGGTTACCTAATGTGCACTTTCAGACATGTTGAAGTTTTAAAACCAGCTTAAGTTAGAGAAATCAGTTTCTCTGCACGCTTCAAAGTCTCTATGTGGTGAGAATTCACCAAATCTCCGTTATTTATAACAAAGGGCACCACCTGATAAATAGCACAGAAATCCCTTTCTTCATTTTTCATAAATCTACCCAGTTACCAGAATATTATAATTATTAACAGGCAAATAGTAATGGCTGTTTATCTTTCAAGACGATAGCAACTTCAGTTCTGCTGAGTGATTTTGAATTAAAGAAAGGGGATCCTGGGGACAGGATATCTCAGTGAGAGTCTGCTGATTGAAAGTCTTACCTTCCTTTTCCTGATTGTAACCTGGTGTTCTTGGCCTAAGGGCACTCCATAAAACCAGGTCCTTGAAATTGATGTTCCCAAATTTGTGGATGGAACAGAACTCTAAAACAGATGTGATATTTTTCTTAATATCCGGTTAACTACTATGGTTGTTTTGTGTTTTAATGACTGTTTATAGTTTTCAATTTAACCTCAAAGGCAAATTGATCCTGTAGGGTGAGTAAATTAAAAAGTGGATTCCTGAACATTATGATACTGCTGTTCTTCCCAGATAGTAAACAACATTGTTAGCTTTTAAACAGTTACTTGTCTTGCATTACCAAAATAATGAAAATGCTGGTCTGTCCATGTCTATACATAATTTTTTTTTTAAAAAGCTGGCAATACCTGGGGTTGTTAATTTGGAAGTCCATGGATGGGCTTTGGCAGGTCTGTTAACTCTCTGAAGGTTATACTGTATGGGAGGCATGCATGATTATTTCATGAAGTAGATACTATCACTTTTCAAATTTGAAAAGAACAAAAGATCAAGAACCACTGCTTTAGGGGCTAGCTACCAGTTTCTAGAATATGAAGAATGATACAGACTAAGAAGTAGAGAATTGGGGCTAACGTTATGGTACAACTGGTTAAATTGCTGCTTGTGACACCAGCATCCCATGGGAGAGTGCCAGTTTGAATCCCAGCTGCGCCATTGCCAGTCCGGCTCCTTGC